CTGCGTAAGTAGTAAAATATGATACTAACCTCATGTTTACATAATTAATTTGTAATGACCTGGATTGCCTAACACAAAATAATTGGTCCATTTTGTATTTGTAAATCACGTTCCATTTGGGATTTCACATTAATATTATTGGAGAATTCATGTTAAAGTCAGTAGGTAAAATGACGGGAATTAAAATGCAGTCACTTAACGTTTGGTGCACTTGGACCCATTAAGAATCAATTTTAGTAGGTGTTCTCATCTATCTGGGTTATCAGATCTCCCAGGCGCCTTTGGACCTTGTTACTTGTGTTGAAGGCCCAGGTCCTATCATAAGTATTTGTCTATTTGGACCTGGGCCAAGCTTCACTGGTCTACCCTCTGTCCGGTGTGGATTGATGTCGGGCCCAATATATTGGTGGGTTGAAATTTTGTCTTGCCCGCATGTGTCATTTTGCTTCGGGCTTCTTGGGCCCAAGACTAAAGTGGCCACTGATTCATTAGCACTTAAATGACAGACTATGGGTTTTAAGTTAGGTAGCAGGTTCCAGCTAAGAGATTCGTCCTTTTGTTTGGACCCAAACTTGAATTCGAAACCCGGACTTTGATGTTAACCAATTAGGATCTTTTCTTTTTCTTTTAGAAACAAATAAAAAAATTTATAGAAAAATATAGTTGCTCTTAGGTTTACCCTTTAAAATAAAATGAGACGAGCCTCGCTCAAGAAAACACAAAATGCGGGGGCCTCAATAATTGGTTATCGAAATATTTAGAAATTCGAGACGGGCCGTTTAGCGAGTTTCGTGGCCTTCCCAAAAGATAATGATACGTTAGACACTTTAGACGCGATTTTAATAAAATTACCTTCTTAAATTCGGGTGTGCATTTCATGCAACCCAAATCCAAATCCCAAACGTTGAATAGAGTGTGTTTTGGATTGCGGGTGCATTTCATGTGACGCGATTCGAAGGCACGCCTTAAACGATGTTCACTTTCTCTTAAGTAAATACATGTTGAATAAAAGCGGTTAATGGTAAAAATTGGCACATAGGATCTTCATGTAATAAAATCAGATGAATAAGCTAAATACAACAGTTGAGCAACCGTGCTAGAACCACAGAACTCGGGAATGCCTGACACCTTCTCCCGGGCTAACAGAATTCCTTATCCGGATTTCTGGTTCGCAGATTGTAATACAGAGTCATTTTTTTTCTCGATTCGGGATTAAAATTGGTGACATGGGATACCCTAAAATCTCCCAAGTGGCGACTCTGAATAAATAAATAAATCCCGTCTTGATTGTCCTTTAGTTGGAAAAAACTCCTTCACCCCTCGCGGGGCGGAAAAAGGAGGTGTGACAGGTATTCAGGTGGATCCTAAGAATATTGAGGCAGTCAAAAACTAGCCTAGACCCATATCAGCTACAGAGATCCAGAGTTTCTTGGGATTGGCGGGCTATTACCATCGGTTTGTGGAAGGGTTTTCATCTATAGCAGCCCCATTGACCAGGTTGACCCATAAGGGTGCCCCATTTAGATGGTCAGATGAGTGTGAGGCGAGCTTTCAGAAACTCATGACTACTTTGACTACGGTGCCGATGTTGGTGTTGCCCACAAATTCAGGATCTCATACCGTATATTGTGATTCATCTCGTATTGGTATGGGTGCGGTATTGATGCAGGGTGGCAAAGTCAAGCCTTTGGAACATCATTCTATCCTTTCTCAATTTGTGTGCACAGTCCGGGTATTGATCCGGAAGGTTTACAGCTAAAAATTGATAAAATCAAAAAAAAATCCTTAAAAGTTAATTTTAGTTGACTTCGGTCAACATTTTGAGTAAATGGACCCGTACTCATACCAGTGTTTTAAAGGTCCTAGTGGGTCCGTGTTGAAATATGAAACCTGGGCGTATGCCCGAAATCAAATTCCGAGGTCCCTAGCTCGAGATATGAATTTTTGTTTAAAATTAGAAGTCTAAGAATCTAATAGTTTTTAAGAATTTATTGATGCTTGGCCTCGTTGATACCGGGTCTGTATTTTGGTTCGGCAGCTCGTTACAAGTCCAACATAATATTTATGACTTGTTTGTGAAATTTGGTGAGAAACGGAATTGGTTTGACGTGATTCAGACGTCTGGTTGAGAAATTATTATTGTCAAAGTTTTCTCGAATTTTCATTTGATTTGATGCTAAATTCGTAGTTCTAGATGTTAATTTTGCAATTTGATTGCGCGAGCAAGTTCGTATGATGTTTTAAGACTTGTGTACATGTTTGTTTGGAGTCCCGAGGGCTCTGATGAGTTTCGGGTAGGCTACGGAGTGAAATGAACTTAGAAATCATAGCCGGTGTGCATCAGACTTGCAGGTTTCACATTTGCGAGATCTGGCTCGCATTTGCGAAGAAAACTCCGCATTTGCAAAGAAAACCCTGCATTTGCGAAGTTGTTCTTGGGAGGGATCTTTGTATTTGCGAACAAAATGTTCGCATTTGCGAAGGCAACAGAAATGCAACAGGTTTATATTTGCGATACTTCCTCGCATTTGCAAAGCTCAGGTCGCATTTGTGTTATCTGCAGCTATGTAAAAAATGACTTAGATGGGATTTTTTCCCATTCTTCAAATTTTCAAAACTAAAAGACAAGAGGCAATTTTCCAAAGAATTTTTCTTCCCCAAATCATAGGTAAGTGATTCTAAACTAATTTCTTTCAATCTTTCACTACATTTTACAAGATTTCAACTTAGAATCTAAGGTTTTATAGTGGAATTAGGATTTTGGGTAGATAATAAGGATTTTGATACTTGGGGATTTAGACTTCAAATTGTGGTCGAATTCCAAAATCAATTATATATCCGGGCTCAGGGGGAATGGGTAATCAGATTTTTTTCCAAATTTCGGGTTTGGACCAAGCGGGCCTGGGTGTTGACTTTTGTTGACATTTTCCAAAATGGCATAAATTGAATTCTTTGCAATCGTGGGTAGTTCCTAAGTCTTTAATTGGATCGCTTGGTTGATAATTTGCTAGATTTTATTGGTCCGGAGACTTGTTTGAAGGGAAAAGTTGTGGTTGAGCTTTGAGTTTGGCCGTTGGAGCGAGGTATGTGTCGTGGTTAACCTTGGCTTGAGGGATTAGGTATTATTTTCTTATTTTCTATGTGTTTGAATATTAGGTACAATATATAGGTGAGGTGACGAGTACCTATGCGTTGTTGTCAAGTTATAGCATGCGAGTAGGTCTTATTCTTGTAATTGTTACTTCTTTGATACTATTGTCCATGCTTAGACTAGCTACGCGTTATGTTGAGCATTCTTATCATGTTTATGGACCTTGGTATTGATTGAGTATTGATTCAAAGTTGAGGTTGGTATTGTGGCACCAAATGTTAAAGTGAGACTTGTTATTGTCATTTATATCTCCATGTTATCATTGTTCATTGTTTTGGTGAGGGGGATTAATAATGCACGAAGGGTGATGCAGTGCCATGTTTTGTGAGTGGTAATGCACGAAGGGTGATGCCGTACCATATTGTGAGTGTTAATGCATGAAGGGTGATGTCGTGCCATATTATGGGAGAGTTAATGCACGAAGGGTGATGTCGTGCCATTTCTATTGTTTCGTATGTGAGGTTGAGATTAAAAGCACGAAGGGTGATACCGTGAAGTTTCCTTTACCGCGTTTACTTGTTTCTATCTGTTAATGGCATATTGGTTGATTAAGTTCTTAGCACTGCTTTGATTCTTTATCTTGTGATCCCCTCAGCATGTCCCCTCCTAATATTACTTATCTTGTTTCTTTTATTGTTGTTATTGGTATATACATTGATATACTGCACAGGTTTATTTTGTTGGTGTCTTGTCTTAGTCTCATCACTACTTCACCGAGGTTAGGCTCGACACTTACCAGTACATGGGGTCGGTTGTACTGATACTACACTCTTTACTTTCTGTGCAGATTTTGGTACTGGACCGAGTTGATCCTGAGTTTAGCTACTGGCTTCATTTAATCGGAGAACCAGGGTAGTCATGTTGGCGTCCGCAGGCCCTGGCGTCCCCTTCTATACATTCTCTTACTGTTTCATTTGTATCGAAAACAGTTGTATTTCCTTCGGACAAATTACTTGTAGTTAAATCTTAGAAGTTCATAGATTGTGACTCCAGATTCTGGATAGTTGTGCATAAATATTAAGATTGTTATGAATTTCCGCACTCTTTTTAACTTGTTCTGGAGTAATTGTTGTAAATCACTAAAAGGTTTAAGAATTGGCTTAACGATCTCTAACGCTGGTTTGCCTAACAAGTGAAATGTTAGGCGCCATCACGGTCCCAATGGTTGGAATTCCAGGTCCTGACATTCTTATTCTTGTTTTGGTTCTTCATTGTAGTGTGAATTGAAGACGAGAAGAGGCAGATGAAAATAGAGAACAAAATTCAAGTTCTGTTTCTTGTTTTGATTCTTGATTGTGATGTGAATGGAAGAAGAGAAGAGGCAGTTGAACAGAGTGTTCAGCAGAAAGTCGGGGACGTTATGTGTGCAACCTTGGAGTTTATTTGATATTTAGTATATTTACAGTTAAGTTCCCATTAAGCAGTTATGCATTCCCCCTTATATGAGAAATTTTACTACTACTATTATAATGATTAAAACAGAAGAAGAGTGCTCTGAATTTGCCAGTAAAAGTTTCTTCCTTAGTCAAGATATAAATAATTATTATCTTTTTTTCTTTTTCTTTTTGGAGAATGCAGAATGGAAGAATTAAGAGAAGTTCTCAACGTTGTGATTCTTAAGTATTTTCAATGGTTATAATCAACATTCCTTAATCAGTGAAGTTTCAAACATTCTGATTGTTCCAGCTCCTAGAATAAGAGAAGCATGAATAGATAAGACACCAGAAGAAGGCAAAAATTGCAGCAAATAACACATTTCTTCTTTTAAATGGTTACTGTCAACATTTCTGTTATTATAACTAAAATTGGCAATTTTCTGACTAAAGTTCCAGTTGCTTGCCTTGCTCAGGGAAGGCCGATCAGCTGAGGATTGCTGTATGCATAAAAGAGGCAACTAAGAATCTGATTGAGCTGTTCAGCGTCATAGGCATTTTCGAGTGACGTATCGACTATCTCATTATGTTTCTTGCTGAAAAGCAAAGGTTTAGCCTGCAAAGTTGTTTGGTTTCAGTTTATCCTACAAATCTGATTGATACTTGGAACAATAGGCAACTTGTATTACTATATATGCAAATGAGTAATTGAAGGGGAGTTGAGATGATTACATACCCACATCACAACACTACTACGAGATTCATCCAAAGCTGGATGTCCGAAAATGAGCTCCAACAGTAACACACCAAAAGGATACACATCAGTTTTTTCATCCACAATGCCATGCATAAAGAACACGAGAGGAGGTATCTGCTATGAACATTCAAGATGAAAGTTACAACAAGGGATCCCTATCTCATATTTACAATAGGTAAAAAGCTTAGGTTCCCACAAACCCAAAGGTTCTTTCAAACTACAATGTGGTGAGGCACGTCCACTTATGGGGGAGCCATTTTGCAAGTCCAAAATCAGATATCTACATAAAACAAAAAGATGAGCAATAAATCCTGTAATTTAATGTGGACAAAATAGAAGAACTATAGTTTCCTTGTAGAACTGTGAGTCCAAATTTCTAGACACAAATCGCATAATCATAATGTGTAAATAAACTGCATTAAGTTTGATCCCTAATGTAATAAGAGGGATCGAATTCGGACTTGATGAAAACTATATAAAGCAGATAGAATAAGAGTTAGTATTATATGCAGGTATTGTGACATGATATTCAGTAATCATAGAAATGAAATCAGTTGCATGTCAACAAAGCCACTACAAAACACCACATGTTTTTTAATTGCATGATGACTCGTTTGAAGAAATACCCGAGCCTCAAAATTTTCTGTCAATAATACATTAACAGCCTTTATATCTCTATGGATAACCCTCCTTTGACATCCCTCGTGAAGAAATGCAAGGCATACTGTAGTGCCTAGAGAAGTATTATATTTAAGCGCCAAGTCTATTTACCCATCGCCTGAAAATGTTGCAAACGTAATAAAATAAAGTAATTAGTGGTTAAGAGTCTAGAGAAGGCTTAATGTCATAAAAAGAATATTAGTGAACGTACCATTAAGCATACTAGCTCACATGAGGAGACAAAGGAAGAACAATATAGTAAAAACTTTGAAAATAAAGACGGAAGCAATTAATATTTTGAGAAAAGCCTTTTTGAAAATAGAATTAATCCAAAATACGATACAATCCATCCCAAAATCGGGATGTCATATAGTACATGAGCATCTATGCTAGAATACGGTCTACTATAGTGTTTAGGAGATAAAACTGAAATACAGATAGAGATAATGAAGGAGAGTCAAGGCCTGTGAATGCCATGCAGCTACCTCGATAGTCTCCGGAATCTGACTCCTCAATCAGTAACCGCCGTGACCAGAAGCACCTGGATCTGCACACGAGGTGCAGGGAGTAACGTGAGTACAACCAAATCAGTAAGTAACAAGTCCAATCTTTGGACTGAAAGGTAGTGACGAACTCAACTGGCACAGTAAAAAAATAAAAATAACAGTGCAGAAACGAAGACATGCTTTCAAATTAAATAGATAGCTCAAAATAGTGAAATAGATCAGATCTGATCAATGTGAAGAATATAACTCTTCTATCTCTACATGCCAATGCACATGTTGTATGTAATGCACCATACTAACAGCCTCATGTGCTCACGCTCTCAAATGCTCGAGCACTCGGTACTATATATGGTCCATACGGCCTTGGGAAAATCCATCTCGGAATGCATACATCACTGACAATCAGTCACCCAGTACCGAGGAAGGCTAATCCATCCCTGTTGAGAAGATCCATCTCTAGGTATCAAGTGCCCTGGACAAGATCCATGTCCTGGGAAGATCCATTCCTCAATAATATCAACTGCGCCCACTTAGGGTATGTACAGACTCCGGAATGGCTTCTTCAGCCCAAACACTATCATAAATCAGTATAACTGTTGCGGAGTGCAGCCCGATCCCATAATTGTCACTCATAACCAGGCCATCGGCCTCACTCAGTCATCAATCTCTCCGGTCTTACTCACAAGCACATAATATCATGAAACTAGCCCGAAAATAACGATATGATGTATCAATAAATATCAACTGAGAATGAGATATGATATCAAATGAATGGATATGACTGAGTACGAAATATCAATGAAATCAGTAAGATAACAACAAAAAATGGCTAATATGGGCCCCAACAGTACCGTCGTAAAGCCTAAACATGATATATAACATGATTGACAGCTCAATTACTTTATCATATGATGAAAACAAAGATATCAACAAGATATAATAACTATACAGTGCCATGGAATCAACCAGGTCACAATTTTTACGGTGCACGCCCGCACGCCCGTCACTTGCCTTGTGCATCACCTCAATACCAATCACACAACACATAATTTGGGGTTTTGAACCCTCAGAACCAAGTTTGGAAGTGTTACTTACCTCAATCCGGACAAAACTCTACTCCAAAATATCTTTGCCTCTCAAATCGGTCTCCAAACGTCCTGAATCTAGCCATAAGCAATACAATACAATTAATATAGGCTAAAGGGATCAATTTCACAAGAAAAATACTAAATTATAGTCAAAATCTGAAATCGGCTCAAACCCGGCCCCTGGTCCCATATCTCGAAATCAGACAAAAGTCACAAAACCCAAAGGTCCATTCACTCATGAGTCTAACCATTCCAAATTTATCAAAATCCGACACCAAATGGCCATTCAAATCCCCAAATTTCACCTCAACACCACACGATATAGGTCGGAAAAATAATGAGGAAACAAGATTATTGATCAAAAACGAGTACAAGAAGCTTACCTCAATAATCCCCTCGAAAATCTTATCCAGAATCGCGTAAGTCCGAGTTCAAAATGTTGAAATGAACTAAAATCGCGAACCCTTGCTTTTAAACATACTGCCTAGGCCTTTCGCACCTACGGCCAGTTATCTGCACGTGCGGAATCGCTTCTGCGAAATCCACTTAACCAGTTGACTCCACTTCTGCGAACACTGGGCCGCATCTACGAACATCGCAGGTGCGGAAAATGCCATCGCACCTGCGGAACCAGCCGCACCTGTGCCCTTCTTCCCTCTTCTGCGACCACGCGGGTGCGGGAAAATCTTTACACCTGCGACCTCTGCTCAACTCTCCCTTGGTCGCTTTTGCGGCTCTTGCCCCACTTCTGTGGGCTCGGACCTGCAGTTCCCACTCCGCAGGTGAGGTTACACCAGTAGCAACAACACTTCAGTTGCTTCACCAATTCAAAACCAAGTCCGACAATCACCCTAAATCAACCCGAGGCTCCCAGGACCTCAACCAAACATACCAGCAAGTCTTAAACCTCGATAAAAACTTAGTCGAACTCTCAAATCACCTCAAACAACATCAAAAACACGAATTACACGCGGATTCAAGCCTAAACGACGTCGAAACCTATCAAATCACGTCCGATTGACCTCAAATTTTGCACACAAGTCAAAAATGACATCACAAACCTACTCTAACCTCCGAAAATCCAAAATGACCCCGATATCAAAAAGTGCACCCATGGTCAAACTTTCCAAAATTCCAATTTTCGCCAATTCAATCCTAATTATACTATGGACCTCCAAATCCTAATCCGGACGCGCTCCTAAGTCCAAAATCACCTGACTGAACCATCAAAATTCAAATTCGAGGTCGTTACACATAAGTCGACATCCGGTCAACTTTTCCAACTTAAACTTTCAATTAGGAGACTTAGTGTCTCAATCCACCCTGAAATCTCTCCGGACCCTAACCAACTAACTCGGTAAGTCATATAACAGCTGTAGAACACAAAAAGAGCAGAAAATGGGGGAACTGGGCTACAACTCTTGAAACAATCGGCCGGGTCGTTACAAACAATGTGCATCCCCTCTTCCATTACATAGCCAATTACATTCACAATGTTTAGATGTTTGACATGTACTAAATTGTTATTTTGATGACATTTCCTCTTGAGATCCTCTGGTCAACCTTATCACCGCCACAAGTTGGCCATCTTTGATATCCCTTGTATACTTCGGAATAACTTCCCTCAACAATCAAGTTCTCTTCGAAAATGAGAACAAAAGATTAGGAAAAATACTTAATTATATACACTTCCACATTTGAGAGAAACAAAGTAGCTCAGTCAGCTGAAACCTGTGAGAGTTAAAAATTAAGTACTATGAAGCTCAAAATCATATTTCCATTTGAAGTAAGCTACCTCCGAGCTATTAGCTACAGAAATTTCTGAAACAAAAAAATCTTTTAAACGAAGAAAACAATAGATACACAAAGAGACTAGTACCAGGGCTAAAGTTGTCGGTAGCTTGATGAAGTTCTGAAAGGGAGAAACTCTTCCACTTATTTTCAAAGAAGTATTGCAAATTAGTATCCAGATGGGGAGCAGGCAGCAATGGTATGCTCGGCCACACACTCCTACTTTTTCTTTTGGATAGCGTCTTTATGGAAGGCAGTGAAGGTAGCAAAGGCATGCTAGGACGGAACATATGCAAATGTATGGACGGCGCTTTCTTTAGTCGTTTAATTAATCCTTGCTAACCATCAGAATCTGAACTGCTAGGCTTGGAAGTCGTTTCAGACTCTGCCTGATTCTCGGAAGCTTCTCTTATTGACTCCTCATAAACTTTATCCTCCTCGATATCTTCTCTAGTAGAATTCTCATCCATATGATCTTCCCCAATGCTTAGACTTTGAAAGTCTAGCATAAAATAATAAATGTTTAAAATACAGCAGAGATAAGTTGATATATAAACACATGTAATTTAAGATAATATGATGAACAAAGTAGCATGCCCAAAGGATTTTCACCTTCAGCAGAGAGAGAAATGGAGCAAGCACAAAATAGTAGCTTGTGTCCTATCTTGGGAAGCTCCTCTTTGGAGTCTTCTTCATTGGCATTGCTGATATTTTCACTGTTAACATATCATAGATATAAATAAGACGATTGCTTGAAAAGCACTTATTTAATTAAGTTTTAGAAACTCAAGCATATATTCCACAAAGATTTTACAGGCATACAAACAAGTAAATGACTTCTTCCACTATTTTTGTCCAGCTTCATTCAAATCACATGCCCGCAAATCATTTGATTTCTGATATGCCTGCAGCCTAATTTAGGAAATTACGCAAAATCAGAAACTGAATTGACGTCCATGCCTAGAAATTCAATTGTTGTCAAAGAAAACGGCCAAAATCATTTCTTGATTTACTCCAATATAGCAGAAGTTAAAGTATTTCTAGTTTGTTATTATCCCCCGTCCCTGCCTGAATTCTATCACAAGACAATGATCCAGATAAAGGAGGAGAGTTGCGATTGGTTGATGATCAACGTAACAACAGTCAAACTATAATGAATTATGAATCCTATATGTAATAAATACTCATATATCAAGGGTCTACCTGATTTGGGATTAAGAGGTGGCTGATTTGATAAGATATATATAATGATCCAGATATGACTTCACATAATATATATACAGATACACGGGAGAGAGAGCACATACAGAGCCTTGTGGGCGTGGAAATAAAACCCTACTAGCAACAATCTGGTTAAAAATACAAATTAGAAGATCTTCCAGAAACAGAAAAAAGTAAAACAGGAATAGTAGCCAAAATCAAATTAATGGGGCTGCCCATTTCCTATTTAGCTGATAGACTATGTTGCGAGGACTCTCCAAAATGCTACCGCACTCATGTCGGATTCTCCAAAAATACATTATTTTTGGAGGATCCGACACGCACCCGGTCGCATTTTAGGAGAGCCCAAGCAACATAGCCGACAACAAACAGAAAATCATCATAATCATAACAAGTGAAATTGAGAATATATACCATGGTATACGACTTGTACACGGGGTTCTACCCAACAACAACGAGCCTAGTGAAATCCCACTAGGGAGGGTGAAGTGTACGCAGATCTTACCCCTGTTACGAAAGTCGAATATATATAGAGTGATTAAATCACAACTACTATATGTAAAGGTAGCTAGTAAATAGTAAATGAGACAATAATAAAAGGAACACAAGAAGTTTATGAGGTTCGGCAAAATTTGAGTTTTTGCCTAGTCCTCGGACACGATCAACTAAAACCTTAATTCACTCCAAAAATACAAGTAAAACACTATAATAGAGAAAGAGAACTCAAATGTCTTAGGAGATAAGAAGGCAAGTGAGAGATATTTATAAATGAACAAAACCCTTACTATTTATAGAAGGAAAATAGCCTTAATAATGTCATGCATGACATCACATTAAGTGTGATCATGCAATGTAAATGCATGAAAAAATGCATTTATCAATTTTCTCCTAAAAAGGAGGCTTTCAAATGTTCACACTAGTTCATATTAACAAATCTCCACCTTGGAAAGATTTCACTCTTTCAATTTTCTCTCATTGATGAGTTTTGATTATGTCTTCAACTTTAATCTTCAAAGTTCAACAATTTTGATCAAGTTCAAACAATATTAAAACTCGATTGCAGTCACTACTTTTGTTAGCATATCGGCAGGATTGTTTGTAGTCCGAATTTCCTGCACCATGACTCCACCTTCTTCTATAATATCTCGTACAAAGTGATATCGAACATCAATGTGCTTTGACCGTGCGTGATAAACTTGGTTCTTTGCTAATTGGATAGCACTTTGACTATTACAAAATATGTGATGCTTTCTTGACTAATATCAAGCTCTCTAAGCAATCCTTGAAGCCAAATTTCCTCCATTACGGCCTCCGTAATTGCCATGTACACTACCTCAGTAGTAGACAAAACAACTGTTGACTGCAAAGTAGACTTCCAACTAACTGGTGCATTTGCAAAAGTGAAAACATAACCAATAGTTTATCTACGCTTGTCCAAATCACCTGCATAATCTGAATCACAATATCCAACAAGATATTGACTATCTTCCTACTCAAAAATCAATCCAACATCTATAGTATTACGAATATACCGTAGAATCCATTTTACATCTTGCCAATGTTCCTTTCCTCGATCATGCATATACCTTCTTACAACTCTGATAGCATGTGAAATATCCGGTCTTGTGCAAACCATTGCATACATCAAGCTACTAACAACATTCACATATGGTTCTCTTGACATATACTCTTGTTCAGCTTCATTCTTCCGCGACATAGCAGTACTAAGGTTAAAATGAGGAGCAAACGGAGTGCTAACCGACTTCATGTTCTCATTCATGCCAAATCAATCTATTACTCTCTTCAAGTATGCTTTATGATATAGATAGAGTTTCTTTGTCTATCTCTTTTTATCTTCATGCCAAAAAATTTCTTCGCCTCACCCAAATCCTTCATCTCAAACTCCCTTCTTAGTTGAATCTTTAATTTCTCAATTTCATATTGACTTTTGGAAGCTATTAACATATCACCAACGTATAAGAGAAGATATATGAAGGATCCGTCTTTAAGCTTGCGCAAAAACACACAATGATCGTATTTGCTTCTTCTGTACTTCTGTCGAAACATAAAATTGTCAAATCATTTGTACCATTATCTAGAAGATTGTTTCAACCCATATAATAATTTTTCAAGTTTGCACACCATATTTTCCTTTCCAGCAACTTTGAATCCTTCTGGCTGAGTCATATAGATTTTCTCTTCCAAGTCTCCATGTAAAAATTCAGCTTTTACATCTAACTGAACGAGTTCCAAATTAAACTGTGCTACCAAAGCCAACAAAACTCTAATGGTGGAGTGTTTCACGACTGAAGAAAACACCTCATTATAATATATTCTCTCTGTTTGAGCGTATCCTTTAGCCACCAATATTTCTTTGTAGAGAACATCTTCTTGGTTAGGAAATCCTTCTTTCTTTGCAAATACCCATTTGCACCCAGTTGCTTTCTTTCCCTTCGGGAGATTGGCCAATTTATATGTGCGATTCCGATGACGGGACAGCATTTCTTCATTCATGGCAATCCTTCACTTATCTTCTTCTGAACTTTAAACTGCATCTTTATAAGTGGTAGGAACACCATCAGTTACAATTGAGGCTGCACAAGCCACCATCTCTTTGAGACAAGTAGGTTTCTTTATTGTTCTTTTTGGCTTACTGGTTGCTATTGATTCAAGTTGTTGTTAAGGTTTCTGAGTTGGAATCTCCCTTTCCACTGACTCTTCTTCCTGGGGAAAATCTTCTATTGTTTCCTCATTTTTTCTCTGTGTTGGAAAAATTTATTTTCTCTCGAACTCCACCTGCTTTGAAGTACCATCAGTTTGTTTGACATCTTCAACTATCACCTTATCTGTTATGGCAGATTCATCAAAGTAGCATCTTTGATAAATATAATTTTTCTTGTCTATGGATAACATAAGCGGTATCCTTTGACTCCAGAAGTAATTTCCATAACAATAGCTTTTTTTACTTTCGGATCCATTTTTGACTCTTTCATATGATAGTATGCAATTGAGCCAAATACATGCAAAAAACTATAATCTTCAGTAGGTTTTACATACTATTTTTCAAATGATATCTTTCCACCAATAGCGGCAGATGGTAGACAATTAATGAGGTGGCATGCATATGTTATTACCTCAACCCAAAACCCTTGGCCAAGCCAGCATTGGACAATATACACCGAACATTCTCCAGCAAAGTTTGATTCATATATTCCGCCACTCCATTCTGTTGTGGTATATTTCTGACGATGAAATATCTCAAAGTGCCATCATCTTCACAAATCTTATTGAAAAGATCAATTTTTCTAGACACTTTATCTTTTTGCCTGCTTGAGTCTTTGTCATAACCTCCCATTTGAGAAAAATTCACAACACCTCATCTTTAGTTTTCATCGTGTACACCCACACTCTCCGGGAAAAGTCATCAATAAAGGTTACAAATTTTGTATTATTATAGTTGTTCCAAATACCTTTAGTATTATGGATAGTTGTTCCAAATTTAACCCTTGTCTGTTTTCCCTTGATACAATGCTCACAAAACTCCAAATTGCAAGTATTTATTTCTTTTAACAATCCTTGATCTGATAAAATTTTTAAGAATTTTCCTCTAGCATGTTTCAAGCGCATTGCCATAACTTGGTTGCTTCTGCCTCCTTGTCATCACTAGATGTCACTATTGATGTCCCAATAACTGTACTACCGTAATAGTGGTACATGTTATTATTTTTCCGAATTTCCTTCATTACCACTAGTGCACCGGAGATATTCTCATTACCCCATTTTCTGCAATGACTTAGAACCCCTTTGACTTTAGGGCTATTCAGGTACGTATCGAATATCTGTTAATATTTTGATCAATACATCATGGTTACTTAATAAAATTGAACCAATACTATATGCGGTAAGAGAAGTGTTATTTGTGGTGTGAATAAATCCACATTCTTCTTCTTGAAAATCAACGAACCAGTCCATATTGGGACATATATGATAGCTACTAGTTGAATCCATCCGCCATATGTCAGATGGTTTGAATGGCTCAGTTGCAACTAGTGACAAATTAGAGTCATCACAATCAGCTACATTTGAATCCATGAAAGCCTTCATATTGTTAGGTTTGGCCTTGTTTTTCAACTTTGGACAGTCTTTCCTCTAATGCCCCTTTTCTCGGCAAAAAGCACAGTCATCTTTGCTGGGTCTGGATTTTGACTTCAATCTTCCTTTCTTTGTTCTCATATGATTTTGAGAACGACCTCTCATGACCAATGCTTCTCCTTCTCCACTCTTTTGTTTTTCTCTCTTTCTTTGTTCATTGCTATACAAGGTAGGAAAAACTTCTTTGTGAGATATTTCATCATTCCCATAAAATAGAGTTGTTTCGAGGTGCTTATACTCATCGGGAAGTGAAATTAATAACATTAAGGCCATATTTCCATCACTAAAAGTCATGTCCATATTCTGCAAATCTATCACCAACTTATTAAAGTTGGTGATATAATTATTTATTGTAGTACCAGGAACATATGTGAAGCGTAACAGTCTTTTTTTCATGTAAAGTTTATTTTGACTGTTTTTCTTCAAGAATTTATCCTCCACTGCATTCCACAATTTACTTCCAAAAGTTTCTTTTGTGTATATATACTTCTGTTTTCTTGCAAGGTAAGATCGCATGGTACCACAAGCAACGCAGTTGATAATCTTCCAATTTTCTTCTCCTATATTATCTGGTTTCTTTTCTTCTATGGCAATATCTATCCCTTGTTGATAAAGGACATCAAGAACCTCAGCTTGCCACATCCCGAAATGTCCTGACCCATCGAAAATTTCAACTACAAATTTCGTATTTAACATGATTATTGTCCTAGGTGAAAATGCCAACGATGTATTATTTACACCTGGCATGGACTCTTCATTTTTATCATCTCCTACTTTGATACAAATACTATTTATTTGCTGACAGTACATAACACCAAAGTAATTCTTTTCTGATGTGGAAGTTCAGACTATGTTGCAACCATAGAGCATACTCAGATAGAATATTTCTCTGATACCAATTGTTGCGGAAGTCGAATATATAGAGAGTGAATAAATCACAACTACTATATCTAAAGGTAGCTAATAAATAGTAAATTCGACAATAATAAAAAGAACACCTGAAGTTTACGAGGTTCGACAAAAT